TCACTTCTCATTGTAGGAAATTTGGGGTGTGTGGGGAAGCATAAAGAACAAAATGGAATGCAAATCTATTGTGATCCCTCCACTCAGAGATAGCTAGCTATTCATTGTATTTCTTTCCAATATTTTTCCATTAAGGCTATATACATATATATGTGTATATATACACACACACACACACACATATATATATACACACACACACTACCTGTTCCTTTTTTTCACTTAACATTATACTCTAAGCATTTTCCCTTATTAAAAATTTTTAATGGCTGTAAAACATTCAGTCATATGGATTATTGGTGCTTATCAATACTATCAAGTTGGGAGCTTTATAAAAATGTAGATACACTGCCCCCAGTTCAGAAGAATCTGATACAGCAAAGTTAGACTTGAGCATCTGCATTTTTAATAGGTGGTTCTGATACTTAAATCAAGCTGGAGTTGTGCACCAAAATCTACTTAATTTTCCCCTTCTGTTGGGCATGTAAATTGCTTTCAATGCTTTGCAATATAAATATACTATCAGATTTATTGTGTTACTTTGTCAACATCATTGATTAATTTCTTAAGATTGATCCCTCAAAGAGAAATGATTATCACTGATCATCCACCTTAGCAATAATTATCAAGGGTAAGAATTGGTTTTAAGCTTTTGTTGTATAAAGCCATAGTATTTTCTTTCCAGTTTTTAATTCTATTATCAGTTTATGAAGATGCCCATCTTATTAAATCCTTGACTATATTGAGCATTATCTTTACGTTTATCTTTCCCAATATGAATGGCAAAAAATGAATTTGTATTGCTTTAATTCACATTAGTTTAATTCCAAGTTAGGTTGAATTATTTTTATATGATTTCTATTTCTTCCTGTGTAAATTGTCTACCAATGTCCTTTGCTGATTTTAAAGCGAATTTTTTATTTGTTTATGCAATTTCTTGTTGATTCACAAATTTTTAAATTTTTTAAAGATATATTAAGATTTATTGGGGACTATGGAAAAAAATTCCCAGCATCATTCAGGTAAATATTCTGGACATTTTAACACCTGACATTTAAATTTTATAAAGAGTTTAGTATGAAGAGAACACTCCAGTTAAAAGACCACAGGTCTAAAACTGAGGAGAATTTCTCGTGTGTATGTAACTCATGGATCCTTTCTGACAAGGATAATAAAGCACTAGCAAAATTATAGAGTAGTTTAGACAAACTTGTGTTAGGTCCATACATTATTGACATCATTGCCGACAATGAAATATATATCCTATTAAGTAAAATAGAATTGAATGTGTTTTAACCAGACGGAATATTATATTGCAAATTATTTATTCTATAAACTATATATTCCCTAAATATCTTGTGTGTGGACATTGGCTAAATCTAGGGCTTATATGTATCAGTCCATTGCAATAATATTCTCAAATCCAGGAAATCATAAAAATACTTTACTAAACTTAAAAACTTTTAAAATCTTTGATATTTACTTAGGTAGACATTTTATCCGATGTAAACTTTAAAACCTCACCGACAGAAAAATTACACTCTAAGAAATAGGGTCCAGAAGAAGTATAATGAGTAAGGCATAAATGTGCATGAAATCATATCCAAATCTATAGAATTTAATGATAAATTATTCATAGAAGGGTAGAGAATAAGAAATAGATATCTTAGCCTGAATTAGGCGTGTTTTTAATAAGAAAATCTTACTTTGCACTAGATTAATTTATCCAAAATTCATAAATGGAAAAAGTTTAGGTCTGTTTGTTTCCATTCTATAGCTTTTGTTTTATGTGGTATTTCAACAAGATTCTCATTAACAAAAATGGGTCCCAGACGCTAGGGCAATGAGGTATGGATTTTCATAATCTCAAGCCCAATTGAAGGAAATTTCAGGGATAAAAACCTTTGGAAGTTTTCCAGAGGTCTTGGAATTTGACTAGGTGTGCATTTTTGTTCCAACCCTGTGTCAAGTTTCCCAGCATCTCACTACTCTGAAATAAGCTATTTGGAGTAGAGATTTTCTTACCTAGAATTCACTATGGCATAAAAGGCGAAGGTAAATAAACAAATTACCTGGGTCCTATTTCAATCTATAAGGTCATTGTCAACACACCTGGGCTCTCAAGTGGTTTACACATGCAGCAAGAAAGTGGCCACTGTTTCTTCCTCTCCTTCTATTTTTTAAATGAAAGCAATCCATTTCAATTTAGTTTATTCTGTAAAAGCTGCATTTAACAAAAAAAAAGAAATAATTAATGTAGAAAATATCCCATTAACATTTTTCTTCTATCTCTTATCTGTTCAGCAGATTGCTATTACAGGTTCTCTGATGCTTACTCAGGACAAGAATATCCCTTATCATCAATTTGTGTTTCTGACATTGATTTGCAATCTATGTCTGAAATGAAGGAAGGGGGTTCCAAAGCAACAGTAAAATGTGCTGCAGCAAGGCTTTGCTTTCTATGTCCCTCATTTATCTCATGACTTCCTTAGACCTGCTTATAATTACTCCTTCAGAGGTCCTTTTTCTTTTTGTCTGGATAGAAAATACTTTTTAATCTATTCTAGCAAGAAGAGTGAAGTAACTTTCTGTATTTTCTTCAAAGTCATTTCATGATTCTTCTTATTAATAATATACAAGAGAGATGCATTCAGTAACATAGAAGAGATGTCCACATGGCCCTTGTATATGTGGTTTATGCTGCAGTTGAAACAGCAATCTAAGGAGGCCTTTATACCCAAACTGGTTATATAAAGGAATTACATCTTTAGTGGAACAATTGTAGAAAATAACAGGCACTTTTAACATGCAAAGAAATCTTGACATACTGAAGCCTATCTCTAAACATTAATTACAAAATGCCTTCTATGCATTATTTGAAAAGTAAATTTTGCATATGATAGTATTAAGTGGACTTTATCAAGGGACCACATGTTTCTGGAAGGCAAACGTGGATTAATTGTGAATTGAGCAGTGACTTATCTATTGGTCAAGTGTATTATATGAACCTACTATGTACATGTACACGTATACGGATAGCAGTGTGAAACTAAACTGTTTTTACATGGCCTATTAGGTGGTATTAGAGAGACGATGTCTTAGAATACTTTTGTAGAAAGCTTTATTCCAAACAATTTTCTCAACGTAAAGCTTTTTTTCCTTATCCATTCCTTTATTTTGCTTTTTTGTTTTCTATTGTGCTGTGAAACTGTCTTTGGATATGGCTAATAACCCTGTTAAATAACCCTCTCATGAAATGGTTTTAGTTTTGTCAAAGGAATGGTCTAAACCAACATATAAAATAATTGGGATACCATTAAAAAAACTTATATGAATATTTCAGGCTCAGATAAAGTGAATTATAAAAATAGTTTTCTCCAAAATAGAACATTTTAGTAGTTAGGTTTAATTCATTAAAAGACACAATGTGGACACAAAATAAGTTAAAACAACTTCTTTCTCCCAAAAGCATTTTTTAAAAAAATAGATGTCTCTATCTTCACTGAATACTCCTCCATTCCTATATTTTAGTCTGGTTCTCTTGGTGATTAAACTGACAACCTGGTGTTGTTCACTTTAGGAAGTATATTAATTATTTTACACCACTAATGTGGCACTTACTTGGGAATGTGGGAACAGCTAATTATTAAGTTTTTCATAAATGGCAGTCTTACTCTTAAGAAGAGTTTAATACTCTCAAAGTGTGCAATTTACTCATGGGAAATGTTACTCTCCAACTGGATCAAACCATCATAACGCTGGAAAATGAACATCGTTTACTGGAAATATTACAAACATATTTTAAGAGACTAAACCCTTTAATAGGCTAATTAGTAGTAAAATATGCAACACTTTTGGTTAGTCAACTAAGTATTTCACTTGTAAATCAATGTTCAAGTGCTACTCACTAATATGGGTTGTTTTATTTTATCTATAATTGATTTGGCATTAAATAGTCATCAAGCTCAGTATTTATCAAACAGCATAGCACAACTGTACCCAAATTTTCTCAGTACGTAAACCACTCGCTAGATTTAACAGAAATTTATTAAATGCTGAAAACCCTCTTGAAAGAATTAATGGCTCATTTAAAAACTGTGACTTGAAAGCAAGAGAGAAACCAAATGCATGGGAGGCAAAAGTCCATGACATATTTCTTTTTAATCCTCTGAGAGAATAATTGAAATGTGCCACCCTTATTCCCCTGTAGAGATAAACATGGAGGAAATTTCATATAGAGTGTTTGTTTGCAAAGTCCATCACAAGCAGCATGACTTCCTGGGGTTTAATTACTTAATTTAAACAGTCAAATTAGCTATGTGATGTTAGTTTCTAAACAGCATCCAATGCCTTTAAGAATCAACACAAAATTCAAATTCAAGAAATTTTCCCTAATTGCTGCAACTACCTTTCTTTTGATTATCCTGAACCAAACTTGGAAATCCTAGCTTTGGAGACCAACTAAATCTAACAAATAAACAAACTAAACTCACACAAACAGTAAAGGGAATAATAATTAAGCCCGACTCACTGTTGTCAGGAAATCAGTACACAAAAATCAGTGGCTGGTGTGTTGGTTTGTTTATGCCATAATGTTTCTCCTTCTGGGAATGAATTTTCATTTCAGTCTCTTTTGGGTCGTTGACATTCTTAGAGGCGAAGGAATTCAAGACACAATTCTTTCTCAATTACCAGTAAATTCAAGTTTATTACTGTTTTGCACAAAAAAGTAATCCATGTAATTAGTTGATAATGATGTCAGTTATTTGACAATAAATGAACTGTGAAAGTGAACAGCACCAAATACTACATGCGTAATACACTTTGGAATCAGTTACAATTGCCTTTGGTTTGGACCCTGGTGGAAGGGGCTGCAGGATGGCAAAATGAGAGGTTTATTTAGCGTCTGGGAGAAGCTTATAAAAGAGCTTAAGTCCTCATTCCTTCTAACATCTTAACAGCTGTGCAGTTTCTTACAAAATATGTTTTATCGTTTCAAGAAATGCTGTTAACCTCGCAGTTTTAAAACTGAATGAACAAGGCCTCTTGGACAAATTGAAAAACAAATGGTGGTACGACAAAGGAGAATGTGGCAGCGGGGGAGGTGACTCCAAGGTTAGCCTCAATGTCACCAAAAGCGGGTAAACAGTATATAAAGTAATAGGTGCATCTGCTGGGAGACACATTTCAGACCTACTAATGCCACCAGAATTGCTGGTCAAGTCCCTTTGCAAACTGACATATGCAATTACTGTCAAAGCAAAAATATTTGCAACCATTACCAATTTGGGGACATAGTAACAAACCTAATTAAAATAAATTCTGAAAATCTCTGGCTTTAAGAAGGTTGTGGATCAGACATCATAGTCCTACAACGATTATAGTCCTTGGTTTTGGAAAGCAGGAAGGGATGCAAGTTTTTGAAAGAGCAATTTAGTGAAGAGAGGAGGGAGATTGGAGAGGGTATGTCTGTCTTGTTTTCTTTGCCAGAACTTCTATGAAATGTTTTTAAGTAACAGCAATAACCTGTCACCTAGCCTGTCTAGAGTACCTACCAGAAAGTAATTTCTCCACCTAAAACCCTCAGGCTTCTGTTAAACAACAAGTTAAACAAAAGTCACAGACAGTCTTGTGAACTATGCATTTTTTTGCCTTCCATAAATGGATCAAGCTACAATGATCAGTCTACAAAAACAAGACTAACTCAGCTTGGTCTTCACCGCGTCCACGTCATATTTCCAGCTTTATAAAATAATGTTTGCTTTTTTTAATTTCTAAGCAGTGTCTAAAGGGAAAAAAAGGTGCACAATTAACAGAAATTATTAATTAGTGTCCCAGAATCCTTCCTTACTAAGAATAGACTTAACAAAAACAATCCAGAGAGGGGAATACTCTGACTTTTCTTTTCTGACATACCTTCAATTGGTATGCAAGAATATTGAAAATGTAAAAGTATACATTCTTGTCTTCCTTTTGAAATCTAGAGAGTTGCTTAAAACAAAAAGTCCTGCTTATCTTCAGGTTCTTGATTGGGCTATCAATTCTGTCACTTGGCCACCCAAGCCCCTGAACCATGCCCTGTTTTGAGGGAGGACCTGTCGAGATGGCAGCTGCCCTTACCCTCTTCCAATCCTGCTAACTTCCCCCTCACTCCAACCTAAAAAGCCTTTCAAATTCAGCTCACTTTTACATTCCCATCTAACTACCAGCCCTACTGCAGGAGGAGGAAGGAGAGACTTTGCCAAGTGAATACTCTGGCCAGAAAGGGAGGCATGAAAGAGGAGGAGACAACAGAACTGTGTGGACCTGATCCATCTCCTGGTCCTGAGAGAAAATCTGAGTCCCCGGAAAAAAAAAAAAAAGCACCAGAGAGAGGCTAGAAAGAATCCTCAGAGGTTCCTCTGGGATGGTTCTCCTTCAAGACATCTCCATTCGAGGCACTAATCATATGTTTTGATAAGGAGTATTAACTCTTTTTATATTTTAGAGCCCCAACTTGCCTAGAATGTTCTGATAGTTCCCATGAAAATATAAATATATATATAATATATATATCACAAAGTATTCGTTTACACTGATAATCTACTATTTCTCCATGCAAACTAGAAACGTAAGAAAATGTGTTCTAATAGCACCAGAGAAAAGAAAAGCAAAGATATTCTATTCCACTAGAAAACTTTTGCTTGCAAATTTTTATTTTTCTCACAAGTATAACACCGTTTCGCAAAATTTTCCACTAAAATGAATAATGAAGTCCTATTTTAGTGTACCTTAAAGACTCATTTCAGAGAAAAATAAGCAAGCAAGCAGGAGCAGAAATGTGCATCCACATAATGGAAAAATCAATGTAACAAAAGTCACTTTAATTTATTTAAATAAAGGATTGGACAACTCAGTTGGATTTTAATCTGTTTACATCCAAACGTTGTTTGGCACATAATGGACGCTAAGTAAATATTTGTTATGCAAAAAGATAAATATGATTCTAACCTTGTAGTTTTCAAAAATCAAACTGCCTGTTCTCATAGGTATATGGTACATTACTTTCACCAAACATCAACTACAAAATGATATTTCAAATTGTTATTTCAAATCTTAACATGTAATTTTCTAAAATGTTATAAAAAATTAACATAAAATGTTCCTCCCAAATGAAATTACATTATGTTCTTTTTTCCCTCAGGAATTTTCTTTTCATACTGAAAAACATTCCAGTAGGTTATATATTGATGTAATATTTATCACCAAGACGATAGGTGGTTACAATCTAAATGCTAATAATGCCCACTCTGAATTTATAATGAAAGGTGATATTATAAATGCCCTGACCTAACTCAGATCAAAGTAAATTCCCAGGAGGCAGCTGTCGCTTTTTCATTTTTGTTTTGTACCTTCTTCAGGTGACTGTTTTTCTTTTTCAGCTTACCTCTCCCCTCTCGTTTGGCCTGATCTTCCTCAAAAGAGGCAAAATCAGGAGGAAAGTGCTGAATTGGAGAAGGAAGCTGGCTCTTAAGCCTTTGCTGAGCGTAAAGTGAAAGCGGAAGAGACAATTAAATGCTGCCACTTCATTGTAAAGGGAAAAACGCACACTCAGAGATCTCAGCCCAAGCATGCTGAAATCCAGTGTCATCTGATTTTCAAATACAGAATCTTGGTAGGACAAAACTAACTTTCCTAACAGTGATTCACCTAGTGAAGGGGGAAACCATGGAAAGCTGTACCACACACGTGAGTAGGTTCCTACAAGGAGACAGTTGACCCACCTGTCATTCACAGGCCGGTAAGCAGGGAGGATGGCTCCAGCCTTCCATTCGGCTGCAAATTATTAGACTTCTGCTTTAAGAGGGCCATGTGTCAGTAACTGTGGGGAAAAAGAGAATTACTCACTGTCCTTTCCCTCCAGGAGCTTGGGATTTAATATAACCAACAATTGAACTATTTAAAGTCCCTGTGGCAGCTTCCAGTCACACCCCACAGCTGCAAAATAGTTAGCATCACCACTCACCTGATAGCCATTCCCAGCTCAGGAAGTTCTGGCCATAGCAACCCTGAGTCAAGAGGTTTCACATTGGAATGTAAAAATTTAACAAAAGAAACAAGGAAAAAGTTCCCGCATCTTAAATGAAATAAAGTGGAAAGGCATGATGTGGGGGTACAAATTTTCTTGTTTGAAAACTTACTCCCTTGATCATGTTAATATTCCTGCAATGTCTTTTTATATGGTCATAAGAAATTCATATTCATTCTTAGGAATAAAGGAACAGAAATTTACTAATTGACAGTGAACTTAATTTTAAAGTATCACTGCAATGTCTAAAACTCATTTTCCCCTTTGATTAATCTGACATGGTTTAGTCTGAGCACAAACAATACACAGAATTTTATGCCAATTTTTAGGTGAGTTGTTTAATCCTGGTTCTAGTTGGAAATTTTGGCAATGTCTGCAATCATCAATGACCCACAGTGCTAGTAATATCTACAAAACTGTTGATTTTTTCTATTTATACTTGATCCTATGTATAAAAAATACACATAGATGTATATTTATATATATCCACATAAATGTGGGTATTCATATAAAAATCATTTTTAATGTGATTACCAAATAATCTGTCCGTAAGGAATTACGTTAGATCCCATAATACTCAGTTTTCAATTTGGCACTTTGAAGAACACAGCCCTTCCTGACTTTAAAATATGTTATAAATGGCCTATTCCCCTTCACCACCGCCATGGAAACCAATGCAGGAATAAAGGGATTTCTATGGAAAATATGCATTCATAAGCAGGAAAAAACATGGTAGACAAAAACCAGTAAGAGAAGCCAACACGTGGAGAAGGAATCTCCCAGTAATAAATCCTTTGCTCAGTGCCTGACACTCCACCAGCTGATCATTAAATTTGGTTAATAATAAATATCTCACATGCAAAATTCCAATCTAACTGTAACTTCTAAAACCAGGCTACTGGAGTGAATAGGAGAAGGAACAAAGAGGCGAGGGGAAAAATCAAAGGGGTAGGGGAAAGTAGTACCTTAAAAAGGGAGAGAGATAAACCAAAGGCAGTCTTCATCTAATCCACAATTTTACCTTCAACTGTCCCTTCTAGAAGAAACTTGAAGGAAACTCTGCTTTCATTTTCCTTCTCTTTTCAGCATGAAGTCTTCCTCCTCACAGCACATCCCATTCAAGAAGTGCACTATAGACTAATATAATGTACTTATATGTGTGTTAAAAAGGCAAGCTATCCTGGGGACCTAAAAACCCTTAGTATCAGGAAACACTTGTTCTGGATTCAAAATAATTTAAATGTAGCAACCCTACAGAGCACCTACTCTGAGTCAGACACCCTGGTAAATACTATTTGACAAAGGTGACTGAGACATAGTTTCTGTTCTCAAGGAGTTCACAGTTTACCAACCAACCCACAGGTATGGTTTTCTAACAGTTATTTCATACATGAGGGGAGAGAGTAAAGTCTGGGGGTGAGGGGGTATAGATCGTAAAACCTAGATTAACTGACGTTAACCAAGCACCCCAATTAACCATAATCCTCACCCCAGCCCACTCACAAACTCAGCTTTTAGTAGAAAGAGTTAAATCATGCTCATGTTAGATTTTAGTCCAAAAAACAATATAATATTCTAGGATCACAGCAAATCCATATTTCTTCTTAAATGGAACAATGAACCTTGTAAGATCTCATAACATTGATACAACAATTAAACGGTATTCAGAAACCAGACAAACAAAAAGAAAAACATGTTTTAGAAACTTTTTTCAGAACTCACAGTACAAAAAAATAAATGGATTTAACTGTTTATCAGAAAACTCAATTAACCAGAAACCCCATTTCCTGAGTTTTCTGTTGTCAACATTTTTAATTGCGCAAGCTGTGAAGTCAGACTATTACAAATCCATATTCAGCTGCTTCCTAGCTGTGTGGGTAGATGAGTTAACCTCTCTGTGCGTTGGTTTCCACATTTGTAAAATGCAGGTGATAATAGTAACTAAATAGGTAAAATGCTTTTAGCAGTGCCTAGTGAGTAGTAAGCGCTCAGTAAAATGTTACCTATCATTATCACCATCATTGTTGAAGCATTACCTGGTCGTGTAGATAGGTTTATGGAATTAATCCCCTGGTGACCAAATAAATGGATGCTGTGTTTCTCCAAATACACTTAAAATTTCCTAGAAGTGAGGCATTAGGAGATACAGACAGACAAAATGACTGTGGCAGGCTTAGAAATGTCAAGAGGAATGTGACTAGTCTCCCTCTGAATGTTTGCAAAAGCGAAAAAAAATAAAACCCAACCAATGACAAAAACAATAACAACAGAAGAGCCTAGAAGTTACTGCTTCCCATCCATCTTCCTAGCCTTTGTTATATACACACTGAGGTTAACATGGGAATGAAAACCAGAAGAATTCTTAGATTCCTTGGAACACCGATGCTCATGATAACTGACCCTTTCCTCCCTGAGACTCCTTAAATAGTATTTACTATTGAAGGACTCAAAAATGGTAGAAAAGAAAAATGGGATTTTATTGTATGGGGCGTTGGTCTATTCCTAAAAGTCTTGATTACTCCTGACCTAAGATGTATTTGTTGGTGAGAATTTGTAGAGTATATTATAGTCACCTCACTTTGTACTTAATTTCAATAAGGTGGACTCAAGATCAATGAACATTGCTTCTGGTGATATTATTTAGGTTAAACACTGCAATTCAAAAGGAAAAGATCAGCATGGGCTTACTCTTTAATATAATGAGTTACAGACTTCTCTTAAAAGGACTTTCCTCTGCATGAGGTGGCCCTTTGTCAGTAATACCTGAATTGCCATCCTCTTTCCATTAGGTCTTGGATGAGAGTGGTGAAGGAGTCAATTTGACAATGGAGACTGTAGACATACTTTTATAGCATAAAGTAAAATTCCACTAGCTGAATCATGATGCTTGCAAGAAATGAAACTAGTCCTAGCTGGCTTCTAGATAAGTCTGTCTGTCAACCTGCAGCCACTTGCATTAATTTTGAGGGGAAAAAAAGGAGCTTCTGGATTTTGAATGACTCCCACATTTCCATTGGGAAAATTGTCAAATGCTCAAGAAATCCAATCCAAGCCAATAGTTTTGGATTCACAGTAATTGCATATATTTTATTTAAAAATCCTCCCAAGCAGTATGTGCCTGTTACCTAAAGCGATGGAGCAGGCCCCAGTTTTATGTCTGATTCTGAACCTGGGCCTACAGTACAAGACATAGCACCTACTGTGGCCTCTGCTCTGTCACTTTGCCATGCGATTCTAATGTAGTTTTACTTGAATAACATAAAATAACATATATAATGTTATTTATGTTATTTTCCACGTGAAGAACTCCTGTAAACCTTGCCGTTTTGAAACTCAGTGAGGCAGGCGTCTTAGACAAGCTGAAAAACAAATGGTGGTACGATAAAGGTGAATGTGGACCCAAGGACTCTGGAAGCAAGGTCAGTCACTGCTGTAGTTCGGGGCCTCCTCTTGTGTTCACAAAGCAGTAAACGGGAGCAATTGTCAAAAGCATATGGAAACAGTAAAAACTAAGCATTTCTCTAGACATTGCCTAAATTAGAAGCTAATGTCATAAATTTCAGCCACAGGGATTGTCTTTTCAGGAAATTGCAACCTGCTCCCCAATAGTAAAACTTTAAATAAACTTAAATTAACTGAAAAAATATATAAAATAATAAAATTCCTTATGTTATTCTCACACTTACGTACCACTAATAAAAGTAGTGTTTTTTGGTTAGGTTTCTGTTTGTTTGTTTTGGCAGCAAAGGCCATGAAATCCATTATTTCAAGAACAGATGCATTTTGAAAACAGGAAATGGGAAATTGATCAGTAGTCACCCAGAAAATGATTTTAAATATTAAATATATGCTTATTCAGAAGTTCAGTCTTTTGTCACCATATTGCCAAGCATCCCACTTTAGTTTGAAGAAGCCCTACTATATTTCTGTGCTGACAGATAAACAGAGTGAGACTTCCAATTCTATTCTGTCAAAATTATTTCAATAAATCAACATTTATGAATAATATCCTCAAGTTCTAAGATCTTTTATTCATGAATTCTTTTTAGAACAATTCCAGAAACTATAGGCCTGATTCTGTTGAGGACAAGTGAGAATAAGGTGGCAAACAGTTATATTTTTATTCTAAAGAAAGTAATGTAACAATTTATCAGTGAATCTAAATACCTGCACAAATTGATAGAATATAGTATCAATGCCTGGAAGCTGAGAATTCTTGGAATCTTCTTTTATTTTGTTCTGTATCTTCTAGAAAGAAAAAAAACCTATTTGTTATTCTAAGACATTAAAGAAGTGACTGGTTTAAATAGGAGAGCCTCAATTAGTTTAAAAAGGAAACAAAGTAATGTTAATCGATTCCCTTTCAGGGCTTAACCCTAGATTCTAATCAGCTTTTTCTGCCTTTGAACCAGAGTGGAATGAGACAACTTGGCGAAATAATGAAATATTTACCTCAAATCCTTATGTAAAGTTGGAGAAGCATAAATACATAAAAGAGTGATTAAATTTTAAAAATGAAGTTACTCTAAATTTGTGGTCCAATCAGTTAATGTCATGGCTAAGTGAACAGTGTACACAGTACATTTTTTGAATTAAAAACTCTCCTAATAAAACTATTTCAGTGTCTGAATCATATTTTGCACAAAACCTATTCCGAGAAGGTGATAGGAACAGGGCATCCTTCAGGTAGTCTACCCAGAGTACTTTTTTGAAAAGTGTTATATAATATGCATATTTACAATTTCTGATAAAATTCTGAATTCTTGTTACAATTTTAGTATCTTCCAATCATATGCTTGACTATTTCTGAATTTCTTATGAGATAGTGTGTATACTAAAGCTCTGGAGAATAATATATCTAAAATATTAACTGATTAAACACTTTTAAATGGGAATGGAATCGTATTTTTAAATCAGTAAAAATAGTTATAAATTTATCCATACATAAATAATTTATTTCTCATTTGACCATGGTCATTTGTATGCCAAGCACATGATTTGCCTATATTTGGTAAAGTAATGATGAACAAAACGTGAAACTGCTAGCTCAAAGACCCTCACTTAGTGCTTTAAATGTGAAGTTAGATCTATTCAAGATAAATCTCAAACATTAAAAGTACATTTTAATGGAAAGAAAGCCAAAAGAGGCCCCCTTACCATGTAACTGGGTTTTAAACATGTCATTTTCAAACTTAACAATAATAAGCCCACTTCTGCCACCCTATGTAAACACATAAATGCTTATATATGGCTAAGTATAGTGGTTTTTACTGCCTACTTAATAATGATAAAATGTTAAAGATTTTATCGAATGTAATTACACACAATTTATTGGTAATCATCATAATTTCATTTCTTCTGAGAGTTATAAGCTTTATGTTTAAATCCATACACCTACATCGGTGATTTATACATGTAAATAATTCCAGGTTAAATTAAGCGTTTCCTTTAATGAGCTGTTTGGATTTCATGTGTTCTTTTTTACCTTCTGCATGTGACATTTCCGCAATTAACTCAAGTGTCTTTATCTCCCCAGGACAAGACGAGTGCCTTGAGCCTGAGCAACGTAGCAGGCGTCTTCTACATTCTGGTTGGCGGCTTGGGCTTGGCAATGCTGGTGGCTTTGATAGAGTTCTGTTACAAGTCCAGGGCAGAAGCGAAGAGAATGAAGGTGGCAAAGAGTGCACAGACTTTTAACCCAACTTCCTCGCAGAATACCCAGAATTTAGCAACCTATAGAGAAGGTTACAACGTATATGGAACCGAAAGTATTAAAATTTAGGGGTAGGACTTAGGGCCTACTACAGTGAGTGGGGGATGCATCCTGTGAACGTACTGTTGTGACCTGTCTGTCCAGTGGTGGTATTGCTTGCTTCTAATTAGAGCTTTCTATTTTTGAAAACTTCAGTGCAAAGTGGTTTGGTTTTCTTTGGCTGCAGACGTACTGTTTGAAACTTTATGTTGCCAATAGATATCTGCATTGAAAGGGTCAGAAAGACAAAAGATAACCTCCAGAATTGCTCTGCAAAATGATTTAAACAGTATATTCTACCCAAAATTTGGGAGAAATTGGAAATTAGATCTGGGTTTCCTTGCACACAGACCAGGCTAGTCTTCTCTGGAACAATCCAAGTTTAGGATAAGAACTAACAAAATAAGCATAAAACCTGTTTCAAATAATCAAAGCCTATTTTTGATAATCATATTGTTTTCTGAGAAACAATGTATGCAAAAGCTCCAAACATCTAGTAAGTGCTCAAGAAATTTCAGCTCCTATTCTAATTTGTTTTACACATGCCATTATACTTTATTTTTAAAGAATGAAACCCCACTGCTTATTCATCTGACCATAGTCTTTGAGCCTATCTTTAGGCAGGAGTGATGGTCAGAATATTGACTATAATTCCCATTTATTAGATGAAATTCAACTTTCATGTTCACAGTATCACTAAGACGAATACACATTTTAGGCAATACAACAGTTTCTCCATCAAAAATGTCAGCAATATATGTGTTCTGTAGGAGGGACACAGTAGAAGATAAAAATTGCAGTGAGTTATTATGGACTTTTTTTCATTTCAATCAGCCCCACTTACTCACATCCTCTCGTTGTGTCACAATAAAAATTGTAAGCATTCAGTGAAATATAGGAGCTGGAGATCATTTTTTAAGACTCTAAATGTCCACTACTTTTTTTCCTCTAATGATAGAAAGTGGTTTTAATATAAGATCTGAAAGCATTTCTTATTGTTCTTCCTAAAATCAGGTCTCTAAAACCCATTTTCTAAAATCATATATAATAGCCAATTGAACAGGCTGCTCATTCTGATTACAATGATAAATGAGACTTTGAACCCACGAGAGACATTCGGTGCTTGATGTCCCTAGTGTCAAAAACCCAATATAATTTTCCTAAGAATAAGATGCACGTCTGAGCCTATGTCAAGTGAAATGTGCTTGATTCTGATATTTATTGATCTGAAAGCTATTGAAGTACTTGTTAGTGTCTTAAAACAAAGAACAAAAGCCATTCCTTTTTTACCAAGATCTAATTGCTTTTATCCATCACCTAGAAATCAGTGACTGAGTATAACTGCACAGAAGTAGGCCCAAAGTGTTTCTTTCCCAATTTTGTGGAAAAGAATTAAGAACAACTCTTAATTCTCTCAGATCAGAATGTTCTCAGCATGTCTTCTAATAGCAAAACAACAAACTAGGATGGTGTCAGGTTCTCTTGGCCATTCTAGGAACGCTTTCATCTTAATATTTACAGAATTGAAGAAAGAGTTTCTCAAACTGAGAAAAACAATACCTGACCAGTTTTCAGAGTCAATTATTTGGAGTTCATTCTGAGATGAATTCTGTAAGATATCTAAAAAGGTTTTTTACCGGTTCATTAAGAACGACTTTTCTTCGGCACAGCAAAAGCATTCTAACAATTAGCAAGGTCCAACGGCAAGGAAGCAAAGAAAAGAATATTAGAAAACTCTGGAAAGAAATACTCATGGATGCTAGTTCATTACAAAGTTCTGGGAAATTGCAAAAAAGCAATATAAATAAAAGAGAGATAAATTCCCAGGTTATGTATTTACATGTAATAATATTATTGGAGTCAGAAGCTGTCATTGTAGTTCATCACATGAATTGCCTTTAGAGCTGGGGTTGAAGTTTTAAGACAATAAATGTTAAATAAAAATAAAGCAGTCATATCCATATGACTTTTTAAAAATCTTACTGGCATTCAGGGTAAGTGAAATGATCTGCCCTGGAGAGAAGACTTGAAAGTAGGCAGTTTTTATTGCACTCTCATACTAAGCAAGTTTTTCCTTCAAAAATTCTATTGGTCGTAAGTATGAAAATGATTGATAATTTAAATAATATTGTCCCAGGATCTCAAAAATAAAAGGTGAAGCCTTTAACATATGGTAGAATAGCTACTTTAAAATTGATGGCGGGGCTGGCCGGCCCTGTGGCCAAGTGGTTAAGTTCATGCACTCTGCTTTGGCAGCCCAGAGTTTCGCCTGTTCGGATCCTGGTCATACACATGGCACTGCTCATCAAGCCACTCTGAGGTGGCATCCCACATGGTACAACCATAAGGACCTACAACTAGATATACAACTGTATACGGGGGGCCTTTGGGGAGAAGAAGATGGGAAAAAAAGAAAATTGGCAACAGATGTTAGCTCAGATGTCAATCTTTAAAAACAAACAAACAAACAAACAAACAAATAAATAAAATTGATTGCCCCTTAAGGAAACACATACAATTAAGGTCATAGACATTAGTCAAAGAATCCAACCAAACCCAGACCACCTGTAAATTTATAAGAAAGTTTTCCAGTTTGAGCAGCCTCAATAGGTTCACAGCAAGATGAATAGAAACGGCATTTTATGGAAGAAGCAGGAGATATAAGTAAAGGAAATAAGAATGCTGAGAACTAGGAATGCTAAGATTTAACGAGAAAATAAGGAGCTGTCATAGATTTATTAACTAATACATTCGGTTGCATTAATCTAAAGAGAAGGAGAGATTACTTGAAAGCATGTGGAATCATTCCATCTTTAGATGTTTTCCTTTCCTCTCAAAAGCAATCAAGAAAAGAAAGGAAACGAAAACAGATTTTACAGCAAAAGCCTTCTGAAAAAATGACTTCAAAAAAATCACAATACATTTATTAATTGTATTTTCATATTTCCTCTTCAAAAAAATTAAGACAAAATAAATCTACTAGATTTTTTTAAATAATTATCTATTTTACTTAATATCAAATGTTGAAAGGGAATCTGAAGAAACAAATCCAGACTTTGGTCTGGGTTTGTTTTAGCTTAGTGTTAAGGAGAGTTTCTCTAGAGATTGTAGCCTGACTTCTGATTTTGAAGATAAGTATTAATATTTGAGATGGTTCACAAAAGCAGAACTATGATAATGACCTGGTTATTATCATATATATGTCATTAACTAGCAATTTGACTCCAACTTTCTGAAGTTATCAGGGTACCTGATCTCCAAACCTTTTCCTTATAACAGTTTTTAATCCAATTACTAATTTCATTCAAAGGTTTAAGTTTCAGGGCAGAATAAATACAAGGATGGAATTTCCTAAAGAATTAGGTAAACTTAAATTCACAACAGGGAATTAAGATACATTATGAGTTATGAGAAAGTTATAATCTAAGCCATAACAAATTTAGGGAATATATCATTTATCTTATTTTCCTGTAGAGTTAACATTAAAATTCAGCTCTAGAAAGAATTTAAAGGCAACAAAGGAAAGTAATTAGATTTACATACTAACACTGCCTGTTTCTTCTCTGTGTAATATTATTATCTGCTACCTAATATGACAGAGAATAAGAATTTAATGAGGATTTCAGAGACTTGACCCCATAACCTCAATCTGGAAAGTTCCCCAGTGATGACCATTCACGAAGTATTGAAATATGTCCCCTTTCAGTGCACTCCCTTTAAGGACTTAAAGCTTCGTAAAATATGAGCCTTAGCTTCCATGGTAGGCAAAGAATGAACTTTATGTCACTAACTGTGCTATTCTGGGTCATGTCTATGACTGGTGTGAATGAATGAACGTGTCTGTGGATAGATCTGTGTTCTGAAAACAGGAAGATCTGTCATGAATAGTACATACATGTATAGTTTGTTTAGAAAATTCATCTAACAGAAAATTGTTTAGATTTTAAGAGTATAATACTTGCACCGTAAAAAGGTTTTCTAACAAGACAAAAAGATTCAAACGAAGAATGTTGTCAAAGCTAAAGGAGCTTTTAAGCTGAACTAGAAGTACCAGGGTGTAGCAAGTTAAAACATGTGTCCTGCCCAGATTTGCCAAACAAAACCTAGTTTTATGATTTTAAACAGGTAGGACCACAAACTTGAGACCGATTCATCTTCAGCATAGCTGAGCTTTCCTTTCTCCTGATAAGCAGTTTTCATATGACAAAAAGAATATGGAAAAAATGCAGATGTCTAATTATTGATATTTTGGTGTTTGTTGTGTCATATTTTGTTGAAGAAACAGAAATATTGTAACATTCCACATTCTTTCTGTTTCCTTTCCATGCAACCCAGCTGACCTTTTCTGAAGCCATAAGAAACAAAGCCAGATTATCCATCACTGGGAGTGTGGGTGAGAATGGCCGCGTCTTGACGCCTGACTGCCCAAAGGCTGTACACACTGGAACTGCAATTAGACAAAGTTCAGGATTGGCTGTCATTGCATCGGACCTACCATAAAAACCAAAAAAATAATTGAGTGCCTTAATTAAACTGTGTTGGTGACTGATGGAAACGCAGCCCTGAGGGACACGCCAAGTGCGGGTCGTCGCTAAACCAATCCTTTGGCTGAGAGCGGGAAGTACGTCCTAATGCGCCAGACATCAGCAGCAGCAACGTGTGCATGAGCTCAGCTCGGAAACCCAAACTCAGAGTTTATATCAGGAAAACTCACCATTTAGGTTTTTTCGGGGAGTGGGTGGGGGGAGCTGGGATGGGTGTATTAACAGCAACAAATTTCACTCGAGTGGACTTGAAAACTAATCAGACTTGCCAGTTAGCACATTCAACTGTGAAGTTCTTGCTCAGAAAGGCCTTGGTCTTCACCGAAAGGGATAAAATAGTTATAGAAGTCAATGAACATGCTAACCTGTGTCTCCAGAACACCCATTTATTCAACGGAAGACTATCCAGCGGAGAAAACAAATCACTAAACTGTGATAAGAAAATAATAAACAAACATGTAAATCCTGTGAAAAAATTTAAAGGAAGTATTTACACTTACTTTGGAGAAAACAAATACTGAAACATGCTTGCTTTTTAACTGACGTAAATTCAGTAGAGGACAACACAATTCTTTTTTCTAACCATCTTAGGGAACAATACATTGCAATAATTGATATAAATGCCATCACTGTAATAAACTTTAGAGACTTTTTTTTATAAAAGTTGTTGGTCATCTTCTTGTTTGCTATAACCTTCACTCTGTCACATGAGTCGGTGTCCACAGATTGCATTTGTCTCACTACCAGGAACAAAAACAAAATGACGACAATGTTAACGTAAAATCATCAGTCTGCAATGTAGAGTCAAAAGAGACTACGGGTCACTCATGTTATCGATATTATTTATAATCTTGTTCTGTGTACAAAATTGTGGTTTTTGTACCCACCAAAAAGAATAAAACAACAGACATTCTTACAATATCTACAGAGCTTAAAGTTTTTTCTTATCATTGTAAAAGTTATTTGAGAAATCATAAGACTATAGGAGGGATGGTAGAAGTCAAGTGTGGACCATAATGGAAATCGTAGCTAGCCCTTATTATTTTTGCATATTAAGCTACCCTCTTTTACAGATCTTGACTCATCAGCAGGTTGAATTGTCAGTTATGGAGTGTTTGAATTAGGGAATGAATCATTGTCACAACAGCAACATACCCTGTAATTGTGTGCTGAAGTTTTACTTGACTGTATTTTGCTGCATAAAATAATGTGTCTCTTGGGCTTCTCCCCCCATTCCCATTATTCCATTTAAATCATTTAAAGCACTAATAATAGTTTTGGATAAACAACTAATGGAGAATTAGTCCTTGTTTTCAACTGGAAATAGTGAAGAAAATTATACCCATGTTTACTTACAAAAATCACCTTATGTTACGTTTGGATTAAATTAACATGGTTCAAAAGAAGGTTTGGGTCATTTGAAATAAAAATAAGTACTATAATACAGAAAGATATCACAATACTTACAGATCTCGGCAGAAAGCACAATTTAGGATGATTTTGGAAGTCTGGCCTTGAAGGATGAGTTGAGTTTTCATAGGTGGAGAAGATGTTAAGAGCCTTATGGGTGAGCAGTGGCCCAAAGCCATGCATGTCAATGGCTTGTTTAATGAGTGTATGTGACTGAATGGGCTGGAGAGAGCACAGGGTGTGATATCACGAAAGACAAAGTTGGGAAAGTTGAAGGATTGATTACCTTGCTTCAACTCTCAAGATACCCAGCCCTCATTCAATCCCTGCTGCAGGAAGAGTAATCTTAAAAAGTGCGAATCTGATACACACACACACACACACACACACACACACACTGTTCCCTCAGGAAAAATTCCAAGCTCTTGAGCAGAGCTAATGAGCCCCTTTATGACCTGGCCCTTGTGTATCTCCTCCACAACTTCTCTCACCTCTACCCAAACTCTCCCGCCCACAAATGAACCTCAAAAGCAGCACACGGGATACTGCATCTACGATTTCCTCAGTCTCCAGCTCTTCCCTGTCTTCTCTTTACCTGACTAACTCGTACTCATCCTTCAGCACTCAAATCGAAACCTGCCCCGGGAAGATTTCCATGACTATCCACCACCCTCTGCCTATGAGACTGAGTTAGGTGCCCTTTTAATGTTTTCTCCCCCTTACGGCACTTACCATACTACATTGTAATTGCCTGTGTACTTGTCTGTGTAATGACTAGACTGTAAGCCCCTTGAGGGCAGGGACTGTGTCAATCTTGTTCACAGTTGTATCCCCAGCATACCCAGCACAGTGCCTGGCATATTGTAGGTGCTTAATAAATATTTGTTGAATGAATGAATGAATTGAATTGAATTAATTTAATTAAGTGAAAGCAGAAAAACATCTTTCCTCACTAATAGTCTCTAGGGTGTGTGTTAAGTATATAGTGAGTTAAAATAAAGGCTGAAGATTGGCTAATTTCATAACATCATCTACCTCACTGGAAGGAGTAGGAAAAAAAAACAAAAGAGACAATCTGATAAATTTTCTGATCAGATGAGAAGGTAGTCCCTGTAATTGTACCTAGCTGTGAAACAATTTGTTTAGCTAGAGAAGTTGTCGTAGGTAATTAAATAAGCCAAAACAGGGTCTCAATTTGGTTTTTAGCCATACTTCTAAACATATCTTCCATTTAAGACTCAGAGTAAATTAGTGATGTAAAGTTAGGGAGTTATATTTCTTGATAGTTTTATTTCTATATTAGTAATAGTATTATTTAGCTAAATTTCTAATAGAATAATTTTGCCAAAAACAAAATTTTAAATTTGACATCAGTAGAGAGGGATATCTATCTGGACACCAATCTAAGGAAATGCTATAGAGCTAGGAAATGAGATTTTAAAACATTTATGTTTAAGTTAAGTTAAAGACATTTAAGTTAAAATATTTAGCTCCATAAAGAACTAATTACCAAGTAAGCAAGATAACCACATAGTGCAGAATTTCCTGAACATATCAGGCAAAGCCAGTTTGGAAGTTACACCAGCTGGTTAATTGTAGGACCACATTTGAAAGATATAAACAGCCCTCAGGAGAACTGCTTTGCTACACTCAATTCAATAACTACTATTGAAAATGCCAGTCTCACTGTTACTGCATTTGCTTTGGGCTGTTCTCTGGTCCCCCTCCCTCCCAGATCCCTTCCCCGTGTTGACTGTCAACTCATTCCGTTTCCCGTGGCATAGCTCATAGTAGGTGTTCAATATATATTTGTCAATGCATACATGCAACTTTATGTATTAAGTTAGTATCAGTGAAAAAATGTGCTAATAATTTTCTCAGAATATCTCAATTTGCAACACCAATGAAGTGCTAATAGGAATAAGAACTAAATGAAAGGTGACATCCAGGAGAGTTTCTGAGAAGACAAACTGAAAGTGTGCAACTTCATCTGTGCTATATGTGTTAGTGTGATGCTACATGAAAAGTGTGCCTTCTCAGGCACATTCATAAATGGCTTTTAATTTCGGATAGACCAGTAGGCCAGAGTACTTAGCATTTATAAAACCAAATGCAAATGTAATAGATGGTATGTTTATATATTTTCTAAACAGCTAGTACCAGCAGTCTTTTCAAAAGAGAATGTTCTTCTTTAAGAAAAGATTTTGATAATTTAAGAAGAGCAAGAGATGAGAGTTGAAACTTTTATCTCAAAAAACAACAGAGAACTAAATTACTTTCCATGAAACAAGAATATTTCATGGAAATTTTATTTACTTATCTTGCTTTACTTATCCTGTTTATTTACTTATCTTGCTTTGATTTTATTTTCTTTGGGGGAAAAAGTGGGTAGAGAAATGAGTAAAAATAAAACATAAGGAGAAAGGAGACATTAAGAAAGCAGAAAGCTGAGTGAAAGGCCAATAGGATTGTGCTGCATGGCCAAAAAGAACTTATGAGAACAGGAATACTTGACATATGATTTTTCCATCGTTAGGTGTGGAATGTTTGATGTAGTCCTCTTCCCATGACCTGAATACCTCTAGGTTAAATTTTCCTACATGCTACAAACTGGTATTTATGATTGGATTAAAGGAGGAAGTCAAGGAGAAAATTCTAAGTCCCATGGTTGAGTTGATACTAGGCCGAAAATGACCCTAATAATATGTCTCTTTCCCACAGAAATGTATAGAAATCTAGACTGGGATCTGTCCTTCCACATGGCAAAGAAAGAAGGTTCATTCGATTTTTTCTGGATCTGAAGAAGATGGTAGATTAAGAGGATCTCCAGAATACATAATTTTTTTAGCCACCTGTGCTGACTGCAAAGTGTTGTAAAAAACAAAATAAGCATAAAACATAAATCATTTTTTAATGATAATAAGGTCATTAAATAAATATTTTGTAAATTATAATGCCTAATACATGGCTTGAGTGAAGGCTTATTTAGGAGTTTTGTAATCTTGTAATCCCAAATACAAAGAGAACCTGCTTAAGGAGAAGATTATTATGATTTCCTCCCCAGAGTGCATACAGTTGACCAACAATTCTAAAATTCCTAAACATTTAGTAATGGTTGAAAACTGTGTCTGTAGACAGTTGTTTCTGAAGTTGAATAGGTCTATAGTCATTGGCAAGCAATGTGTCAATATATGATTAAATGAACTGATTGAATGAATGAATGAGTGAAGCTCACCTAAAGAAGTTAATGATCTTTGCCTATATAAAAACTTCTGCCAGCTCCCTGAGCTAATTTCCTGGATAAATGTGAATGCTTTCAAAATTTTTTAACAAAGAAGATATTTGGAACAATTTATGCCATATCTGCCTCCATTTAGAGATTTACCTAATTCTTCAGTCACCTAAAACTGGTGCTGCTTCAGGCTTCTAAAATGTGGCAGTTGATTAATTCCATGTGCCTGAGACTGTCTCAGGGCCACAGTCCCCAACAACATGCTGTTTGTAACTCCAAGCACAATCACAATCAAAGTCTGCCAGCATCATTAAACTTCTAAAACCACCGTCAGAATAGGTCAGAGCTTCAGGATCTTTGGGCCTCTGACCTTCACAGAAACTTCCAGTACTTTGACTTGAGTTTCGCTTGAAACTCAACTCACCAGACCTACATCCAAGTCATCCTTAGTCATGGCCTCACATCAAAATCATCCCAATAAACTCTCCCTCTCATCCCACATTCTCCTCCCAATATTCTTCTGCACTTCTCATCTTTCTCCTCATTCGTCTTCCCACTCTCTCCCTAACCTGGCCACCATTCTCTCTAGTGCCCTCAGTATAAAGGAAAGAAACTACCAGCATCTTCAGCTTCTCCTGAGAGCATTGTCCAACCTCCTGATAATATCACTCCATGTGCTACAAACTTAGAAGGAAAAGGAATGGCAATCCTTACAATTATACCTCCGCCCCCATGCATAAAAAACCCTCCTCTTTGAAGTGTATGTCATCTAACCATGCTGTCAAAATGGACCACCTACTTGTGCCTTCTGTCTGCTGACTTCTGTGTCATTGCCTCGAATTCATCGAGGACTGTGGCATTTGGCCTATTCTTCTTTTCCACCCCAAGTTCTGTTATCATCTTGAGTGATTTCATGGTCAGTGCAGATGCTGCATTTAAGCCCTTGCCCTGCAGTTCCTTGACTCCTCATTGGTCTTTGCTTCCATTATTTAAGTCACCCATAGCAATAGACATGTAGCAGACCTTATGATCATTTACCTTTTCATCTTCCTCCAGGTGATGACTCAGTTCTCGTCTTCCTTTCATATTCTAGTCACTGAAAAGAGCGGCCTTTGATCCGTTATTTAACCCCTCCATGTAGCTCCATCACTTCGCCAAAATGTCCATGTCAAGGTCATCAAAAACATCTTTAACCATATCAACTAACATTTTCAATATGGAACTAAACCAATTGATTTCTTCATTCTTCAGTTTTCCCCTAACCCTCTGTTTATTTCTTCTCAGTCTATTTTATGTTCCTCATTTCCTCCAACCAAATCTTACATGTTAATATTACCCAGGGTTGTATCTTCTGCCCCTTTCTCTTCTCATGAGACATACTCCATCTGGTTGATCCTACTGTCATCCAGATGTCCACTACCACCTAAACATCATTCAATCAGAAGTCTCTATCTTCCACTCTAGTCCCACATATCCAAGTTCATACTAGTTATCTCTTTTTGGCTTCTCAATTGCAGCATGTTAAACTCCTCATCTCTTACACTACATCTACCTCCTCTTGTATTCCCTGTCTCAGTGAGTAGCACTGCTATTTAACTAATCTCCCAAATTAGAAACATGAGAATCATTCTCGAACCCCTTTTGCTCGTCATTCTCACATCCAATCAGTCAACATCTTAAATTTCTTATATCTCCTAAATGTCTTCTTACTCTGCTCCATATTCCTCATCCATACTATGACTGACTGAATTTAGAGACTCATAATTTCTCACTGTTGTTACCACGATTGTCTCCTAATAGACTCTTTGCTTCTCATCTCACTTAGATCCCCTCTAGTTCATTCTCTACATGGCTGCCAGAGTGATTTTCCTAAAGCACAAATATGACCCTGTCACCTTTCTGATTAAAATAACTCAATGTTTGTTACAGGATGTCTGTGAATATCTCCAGTATCTTCTCTTACCTACTTTCTACTCCAATAACACCAAATTACTCCTCAGAGCTCCAGTTTTCAAAATGCTTCATCTTCTTTTCCTTCTAAGATTTGCCAATTATTATCTCTACCTGGAATGCTCGTGTTTCAGACAGGGTTCCTAAGTATACCAACAGAACCCACTCCAGCTCGGTTAAGCAAAAAGTGAATTCATTAACTGATTCTAGATCGTTCACAGAATCTCTGGGAAAGACAAGCATCAGGCCTGAAGGCAAAGCAGCCAAGAATAACACCCAAATTATGTCACTGATCTGCCCCCCAGGCCATGTCCGTCTACCAGTGGGCACATTCATCAGAGCAAGGACACTGAACAAGAGACAGTGCTGCTAGGGCTTCTGTCTGTACTGTCTCTGAAAGTGGTGCCTCCCTAGCACGCTCTATTACCTTCTCAGGAAATGAGCTCCATGCATGGCCTCTTTCTAATTCAGACCTCAGGCAGGAATATCTAACTGTTGGTGCTGTGTCACCTGTGACCTAGCAGCAAGAGATACAGGAAACCAAATACTGGCTTCCACCTTCTGGAATCATAATGTGGAAAAGAAATACGGGAAGATATTCAAAAGAAGCTGAGTGGGCACAAAATGTGGTATATCTCATCTACCCCTTTATGCCTAATTCCTACTCATCCATCAAGAAGCATTCTAGAAATCATCTCCTCATAGACACTCC